TACATTTGTTTAGTTTGGCTGTTGTAGTGAGTTTAATCCGTACTTGTCTAACCGAGGACCATTGAAAGTCATGGAGTCTAAACAATCCTGTATAATAATTTGAAAACTGAAACATTAAACTACTCTGGACCTTAAATCTAGAAACAAAGTAGAAAGTCTTGGTCCAATGACACTGGAGTAGAGGGCAGCAAGTTCTCGGGCAATAAGCATATGGTAAGGGCTTATTAATATAGGAATTGGGAAATTGGTTTGGGACTTCTTGGTGAGAAAAAAGGAAATTAGTTATAGAACCAATAACTTCACATTAGTAAGCTTAATGAATCACTTCTTAGTAGAAATCCTCATGCAGGAAACTAAACGTCTGAAAATTATTAAGAATGTTAGAAAAAAACAAAACACATTATGAAGCTTATATAAGTTTTCGATAATGTAACCTTAATAATGAGCAATCATAACTGTCTGAAATAAACTAATCTCTATCAAAACTAAATGAAAATAAAATAGCACATGCAGACATTGTTGATTAAAATAAAATAGAGTTCCATGAAATTCTAATAATTAAACCCCCCCGATAATGGATCCATGGTATATTAAATATAACAAATTGAAATAGTTATGCATAGTGTTGCACTGTATTATGAGCAGTTGCTTGGACACTAACATGAAAAATAATAGCCTACAATCATTTTAGCTCCCGTGTTGAAGCTGGGACCAGAAATGCAAGTTAGTTTAATCTTTAATTGCGCTTTTGCTTGAGTTTCTTGTTGATGTGATCATGCATATGACATATTTATTTCCTTCTCTGTTTCTTCTCGTAATCAAGGAAATTAATCAAAACATACTGAGGTTAATAACCCTGAGAGAGCCTTGAAAATGATACCCGGTGAAAAGCACCTAGAAACAGAAGGAGCAAATTAGTTGCTACTTCATTTGCATTTTCAAAGAATTGGAGGAAATGAAGCTTGTGACTACTCATCCCACATTCCCCATCTAGCCTATATTATAAAGCTCTTTTCATACTTTGCATTGCTATTACAACTTTCAAATTCTTACTTTAGGTAGCCAGAGGTGTATTAAATATTGGTTGCTGCATATTTCACAAGATGTTGAGGTTAGATTTATGTGATATGCTGATTTGATGACATGTTTTCAAAGATGGATTGAGGAATATTTGCTGCCACCATAGTGAATATTCAGGGTCTCCACATTCTAGTAGTCACTAGGCAATGATACAATGCGCTAAAAATGCCATAGTAAGGGACCATAAAAAGTTACTAAACCATTTAGTTTCTTATACTTAAGTACTAAAAGTGTGGGTATTGTGTTAACGTGCGCAGTGCTATCATGTTGCATAGGGTTGCTAATAATTCTTAACAGAAACATCCACAACCATTACATAATGCTGGTGACGACCCCTTGACTCCTCTATCATGGATGCAGTTAAGATTTAAAACCAAGATTTGAGCCCCATCCCAGGTGGCTTTTCTAGGATTTGTAATTTATAATAGTAATTTTTCCATATTATGCAATTGATTATGGAAAACCTACAGACTTTAGATTTAGTTTTGATTAATGGTTTCATTCAAAATTTATTTTGAAGGTAGACACTAACAATTTATTGGCAAAAACTCTGCCTACCACTAATATAAAGTTAATGGCATAAACAAGTCTCCTTTACTCTTCACAGTTTGGAATAGTAGTAGTTTTGATGATGTCATTTTTTTTTAATGTCATTCTAAGTTATTTGAGCTCATGGTTTGATCAATGATTTTATATTTGCAGTACAGGAAGCAGATTAATGACTTTTTCAATACTCCGATAGGAAGGAGTTTTGTTGTGAGTATAATCCCTCTGTACTTTGCATGCGTTATTGCAAGTAAAATGTTTTTATTGTCATTAAATTTCACCTAGCGTGTCCTAATGAAATTAGTTTAATAGTGGTCCGTTCCTTTTTTGTTTTTCTCTGGGGAAAATGCAAGTAAACATTAAATTGCACCAAGCATGTCCTATTAAAACTAGTAGTCCATTCCTTTTTGTTTTTCTCTGGGGAAAATGCAGTGTGTAAATATAAATTTGTAGGAGTTTTAATAGACGAATATCTCTGGATTCGGTAGTTTGAATTAAGTGATTTCCTTTCCATTGGTTGTGCTTTTCTAATTATCTAATTGTTTTCAGGCTCACATTTTGAATTGCTTGTGTATTTGCTTTGTTTTTTGTCTTTTAGACTATTTTTTTCCTCTGGTTTGCATTATCTGGGTGGATGTTCCGGCTCTTCATAATTGCTACATGGGTTCTGCCGATTGCTGGACCTCTTCTCATTGGGACTTTGGCAAATAATCTTGTTATCAAGGTATCACTGGCTATACAATTGATAGAAATGATATTTTGATTCTGTCATTAATTAATTTTGTTGATATTAATCTAAAAAATCCTTTGTAACGGAGGAAACTTCTTATTTATGTTGTTTAATGTTTAGTAGAATTGGGCTAGGGATATTAGTTGATAAGGAGTTGCTGGTTCTTTTTTGATTAAGATTATTGAACACAACATATTGTATTCAATTGAAAGCACTGGTGTTTTGATGATTGAATAAATACTATGGAGTCTTTGAAAAAGATTGAAATGCACAACTTTTGTCTTTTTCTTTCTTCTTAAAAAAATCCGTTCTTCACTTGGTGCACCGTAAGTGCCTTTAGAACTCTGACTTTCTGAAACTACTAATTTCATGCTTAATTCTTGATCGAATGGCTTAAATCCATGCATATTTCATTCATCAAGAACTTAAATATCTTGAGCAGATTTCTTGATTGCCTGATCGAATGGTTTAAATCCAATTCTTGATCATGGCTTAAATCCATGCATCTTTCATTCATCAAGAATTTAAATATCTTGAGCAGATTTCTTGATTGCACTGCTTATTACATTTGCTTGAGCTGCTGAAAAGTTAATACAACATCTTCTGTTTATGTCTTTATTTGTGATAATTTATAAATTAGCATAGAGGTCCACTATAAAGTTGTCAAATTTGGACAGGGAGCTTGTCCAGCTTGTAAAAGACAGTTCGTTGGTTACAAGAACCAAGTGATTCGTTGTGGTGGCTGTGGTAACATCGTGTGGCAGCCTAAGGGGGGCTTTCCAGGCAGAGGGCCTGGGGATTTCTTTTCAGGAGGTGGTAGAGGGACCAGGGGTTCAAAGTCAGATCCTGAGATCATTGATGTTGATTTTGAGGAAAAATCATGAGATGCAAGCTTGTACAAGAACAACGTGTGCCTGATGATATACAACAACATAAAGAAGCTTCTAGAAGAAAATACTGTTCATTTGCTACGATGTTTATTACTTCTTGTTGTATGATAATCTTACACCCAGTTGAGACTCGAGTAGCTTATTTACCCGTAGTTCATGTAATTATGACAAATCCTTTTTTTGAAGATCAAAATAACCTTTCGTGATCAATTTTCTCTGATTGGAGGAACCAAACTATTGAAATGCTCTAATTGGCTTCCATCTCTTGACTGGGAAAAGAATGATAAACATAGAATTGTACTTTATTTTGGTAAAACTAACATTTTCGATGACCGAGAAGCTGATAGCCAAGGTTGTAATGGCACCAGCCTCCCAAGAAACCGCATATATAGCCAAGGTTGTAACGGCACCAGCCTCCCAAGAAACCGCATATATAATGAAATTGACGAACAATGAATTTGATGGCTTTGTAAATGATGAACTTCAAGCAGTATTCCGACTTGGATAAAATTGAAGATTCTTATGCTTGTTATGCAACACTTGGATAGGATGACAACAATGATAAGTTATTTATAGCAGTAACATTGCTACTCTTCTCGACTAAAACTTGAAGTAGCAGAATACGCTTGTGACATCTTTCTCTGCATCTCACCACAAACTTTGGCACTCTAACAGAAACCGTTGTACCACTCATTTGCAAGCAATTTCAAGGCATGAGAAGTTCATATTTGTGTTTCTGTCCATCTTTCACGAGCTTTTCTGCATCTTGGATCTTAGCCTCCATAACCAATCTATTCACCACAAGCTGCAATACTTCTGCTCTTGCATGCCACTTCTTGTCAAAAATTTCCTCACAAATCTCAACAGCAAAACCAACATCACCCTTCTCGCAAAGAAAGGGAATCAAAAACTGAAAAGTCACCCTATTCGGCTCGCAACCATGCCTCCTCATCTCACCATACCACTGCTTAGCTTCTTCCAAATCCTCACCATTAATAAATCCTCTAATCAAAGCATTGAAACTAAACACATCTAGCTCAAGTCCCGTATCTCTCATTTCCTCAACTAATTCAATAGCTTCTTTCATTCTGTTATCCAACGCCAAAGCATGCAACTTTGCATTATAACTTCTTACATCAGGCACAACATTCATTTCCACCATGCGACTCCAAATCCTCTCTCCGTCAGCAAACTTGCCATTCAAATAAAACCCATTTAAAAGCGTATTAAACGTGATCAAGTTCGGCTCTACATCACTCTTTATCATTTCATCAAACACCATTTCAGCGGACACCAAATCACCCATCTTGCAGAAGCCATTAATAGCAATACTGTAAGAAACCACGTCAAAAGTTATTCCCAACTCAGATCTAAAATCTGCAAGAAGTTTCTTAATCTCATCAAACCTGCGTGCATTAATACACGCCGATAACAAGGCATTAAATGAGAAAACTGTGCGGGGACATTTTAAATCGGGCATTTCATCAAACAGTTTGCGGGCGTCATCAAACATGCCGGCTTTCCCATATAAGTAAATGAGATGCGCAGTGAAGGTCTCATTTGTCATATCAGGGAAGTTCTTTTGGTGGTCAAGGATCTCGTTGATCATGGGGAGTCGATTGTATTTGATTAAGCGTTTGACGGTGATAGCATATATGTCGTAGCGGGACCGGAATGAGCTGGACTCTGAGCATTTCTTGAACCTGCTTACCATTTTCTCGAGTGTGCCTCTTTTTTTGGTCGCGGTTGCGGCGGCCGGCGGTCTGAAGGAGGTAGATCTTTTGAAGATGCCACGAAGGCGGCCACAGGCAGAGGACGATTTGCTCATTTTGGGTTTTGTTTGAGCTTACTGAGAAAAAGGGGTTCAAGACCTCTCTGCTTGTAATGGTTGGTGTTTAAAAATTAAAACCAAGAGGGGAAAGGAAAAATCTGCCCCTCGTACTATCTGCATGTCTCATTTGTATCCCCACCCGTCGATCATACCAATTAAGTCCCCCAACAATTCTGATTCTTATCAATCAATCCCATTCTTGTTTCTTAATGTTAACAATTCTCTCTTCCTCTTGCGAGAGAGGGAGAACCCACCTTTCCTAATTCACAAAAAAACACAGACCCTTTAATTTTAGTTTGGTTGTTCAAACAATCGAGGGAGGCCGAATTGCTGTAAAATTTCTCCTTCGGTTTGTTCTCGTAGAAGGTTGAGCTCCAAGTTCATCTTCCTCGCTCGAGAGCATGTTGTCGCAGCCAGACCTACTAGACGACAACGAGAACCACATCATTGCGGCCGCAGGCCTCCGTACAAGCCTTCATGTCGTGAGACAAACACCTTATTTACATGTTTGGATTGTGAAAGCTTTCTGAGGCACAAGCCTTCATGTCGTGAGACAGACACCTTAAAAGACCTTCTCTAGCAGCCTTGAAAACCCAGGTCAAGAACTCTAGCCCATCATCCCAGCGATCGATTCCTCTTTTGAAGATGCGATAGAACGTTATTGCTTTAAGGATGGACGTAAATTGATCACCGAGTCGGTCAGCGACCTATTCGCCTCTAGCTATGGGTTCTTGTTGAATCTAGCGAACTTGGTCTTCATGCGGTAAGCTTTCAACATGTTTGGATTGTGAAAGCTTTCTGAGATCTTTGTTCTATATTCTCTAATTTGAGTTCGTATTGTGAACAGATTTCACAACTTACTAAGATTCTTCTCCGAAGGTCACAAAATATACATCACATAAATAGTTTAAGCTTCCAGTAAATTTCCAAGCAATGGGAAATGCCTGCAACTAAATACCAAGAAGGGATCTTTGAGAGTTCCAAATGCCAGTAAGAATCTGCAATATAATATGGATATCATTACAATGAGTAATTAGTTTTAAGAAGGGAGTACTTCCTTTTAATCAAATTATCAACATCCTTATATGTATTAATATTGAAGTTAATTCTCATAGTTGAGTAACACCTCTATCTGGCCAGGGGCTTTTGCAAACACGCTGTTTTTTTTTTTTTTTTTTTTTTTAAGCTTTGGAATTTTCTTTTCTAAATGAATTTATTAAATATATGTGTTTGATGCGTATTTTAATTTTAATTGAGACTAATTGAAATATATATTTTAAATTCTTATAACATTTTTTTCTAATATCAGTAGGCGTTTGTTTCTGCTCTACATAATATTTTTTCCTATTAAGTTTTAATTAATTACTTTTCTATGTATATCTATTTTAATTATGACTTGATCTATTAAAAATTGGTTAAAAAAAACTTCACCTATCTTTTAATAACCCTTTTTTTTTACTATTTGTTTTTTAATTTGTGTGTGTATATATATATATTTATATTTATATTTAACCAAATATATGCATTAGTATTTTGATTTACAATTATTATTTTTATTTCTTAAAACAATTTATAAGCATCTGCACATCTATTTTTCTATATTAAAAAAATTAATTTTTCTATATTAAAAAAATTAATTTAGCCCACGCGGCCACCAATCTGGAGTGTGTCTATATATATTCCTTCAGACCCTGTAAGTTGTAACCATTTCACTATCACTAGCTCTGTCTTTGACGTTTATCAGTTTTTTTCTTTTGAAAAAAGGCATATTTATAAAATTCTATTTGTTTTCTGTTTTCAAAATACTTTAATTTTTTTTTTCATTTCAAGTTATTTTTTATATTTTTAAATTATTTTAATGTAGTGATATTAAAAATTATTTTTTTAAAAAAAATAAAAAATATATTTTTAAATAAAAAATATTTTAAAAAATAACAAAAATCACACTTTGCCTTCCACCAAGTGTGCCATAAAAGTAGGTTAGAAATTTACATGCTATCCCAAGAATCAAGGGAAGGACTTGTACCCATAATCTCCGTTGAATGTAGTACCTCAGGTGAAGTCACAAGGGAAGTTACTTTGCCGGATGCTGGCAGAATCTCACCTGCCATGTACTTTTAACCGTCTATATTGGAGTCACATAAGCAGAGATATTGTTATTAACAGGCAACCATCTATGAAAACAGTTTCAAATGTGAAAAGGTTGCCTAATTTTTCAAGATTACATCCATTTATACAATGAGTCTTTCCCACAATAAGGCGATTCCAAAAGAAGAATCAAAACTCAAACTTTGAAGACGGAATTTTTCAATTTGGTTCACTTACGAATAAACTTAAGAACACGTACTAATTCGGCAATAAAAACTTGACATAGAAATGAAAGCAAAGCTATAAAATTTCAATGACAAGTGAGAGCATAGATTGACTACCACTAGAAAATAAAGACAACCGAACTAAGAAAGAAAGTGTGGAGTACCACTGATCAAGCTATAAGATGTTTGGAATTATTTAACAGCGAAAGCTCCATAAAATCCTTCTTTTCTCAACATCTGCAGGTATACCGGATGAAAAAACGGAACCAGAGAGGCAATTGCATGCCTATATTGAAGGCAATGTCAACTTTAAAGAATCGGAACGACGGGCTTTGCTGAGTTCCACAAGCTCCTTTGCTTCGTTGATCTTTGACTCCTTAGCCAACGCATCCAGCACAGGTTGTATCAGTGCCTCCTTAACAGCCAACTTGCTAGAGAGAGCATCCTTGCAAAGATCAAAGGCAAAGGCAACATCACCCTTCTCGACAACGAAAGGAATCAATGTCTTAAAAGTCAATTTATCTGGTTTAATATCAGATTTCCTTATCTCACCATACCAACCCTTGGCTTCCTCCAAATCACCCTCATTAACAAACCCTCTAATCAAAGCATTGTAACTAAAGATATCAAATTCAATCCCCTCGCTCTTCATTTCTTCAACAACCATAGTCGCATCTTTCATTCTCTTCTCCAATGCCAATCCAAGCAACTTCTCATTATAACTCCTGCCATCAGGCTTAACATTCTTTTCCTTCATTCGCTGCCAAATCCTCTCTCCAGCATCAAATCTTCCATTCGCATAAAGCCCATTTAAGAGCGTATTAAAAGTAATCAAATCAGGCTTCAAACCCTTCTTCTCAATCTCATCTAGCAACGAAACAGCCGAATCCAACGAACCCATCTCGCAAAAGGCCTTCATGACCGTGTTATACGAAACCAAATCCGGTTCAATCTCTAACTCCTCCGATAACCCTCTAAACAAACCACCAACTTCATCAAACTTCTTCGAATTAACACAAGCCCCCAACAGCGCATTGAAAGACAGCACCGTCCGGGCACATTTTCTTTCAGGCATTTCATCAAACACCTTGCGCGCATTATCGAACATGCCCGATGAACCATAAAGAGATATCAAACGAGCATTAAAACCTTCTTTCGACATGTCCTGATACTGCTTCTGGTTCTCTAGAATCTCTTCTACGTAGCGAAGCTTTTTAGCAGCTGCGAGGCGGCGAACGGTGTCTTTGTAAATGGCACTTTTAGTTCGAAACCTCTCATTTTCGGAAGCTTTTTTGAATTTTTCAACAAGACGTTTGAGGCTGCGTTCTCTGAAAACTTCGTTAGAGAGTGATCTGACGATGGTGTTCTCGGTTGCTGCGGGGGAGGTGGCGGTGGAGAATGTGCTGCGGAAAAGGCGGGATAAAGCCGACATAGTTTTTGGGTTATGGAGAGGCTGGGGCCTGGGAGTCAAAGTGAAAATGACACTGTTGTGTTGTTCGTAGGGTTTAAGATGTCCCCTTATGATTCATGCATGACTTGTCGTTCTATAAGCACTTGGAATGCTTTGTCGTTCGATGTCTTGGGCCTAAGCTCTGTACTAGTCGGCGTGTGATTTTATACAAACCCAACTGACATTCATTGACTCTGTTTATATATATAAGCCAAGTATTCTTCTTATGGCTAAATCCAATCTCCCGGTCTTTGCGAAAAGAAAAATGAATTTCATGTTTTTTTTTTTGTGGGAAGAGAGGGTTAGAAAAATTCTATTAATTGCAGCTTTTTTCATAACTCTTAAAAAAGCATGAAAAAAAAAACTCAAATGATATAATCCCTTCGTTGCTTTAAAATAAAAGACGCAATCTCGTGATTGTTGGTTTATGAAGATATGTTGTTAGGTACTCCATTTTATTTTCTTATTAAGGCTAAACCTAAACCTATGCTCAAGAGATAGTTGTCTATATATACTAATAAGGAATGTATGGATTCTCGATAAGAAAGGAGCCATGGTGGTCCCTTCAGATCCCACGAGTGAATAAAAAGTTGAATCTACATTGAATCTCATCTAAATCATCCCATCTATCTTTTTTAGAAGAAGTTTGGTTTCAAATCTTGATTTGAATAGGAGAAGTACGCTATGATAATGTGCCTTGGATGATCCACATCTCAAGGTCAGGTATTGATAAACATATTGAACTATTCATGCGGCTAAGAGCCCTCTCAACCCATGCTCAACGATGCAATTATTAAAAACGTGTTCTACCACTAAGCTAATAGCCTGACATGTAGGACTCCTATTGGTGGCCCGCTACATCAAAAGAGAAAGAAACCCCACCCTTCTTTGTTTTTTTTTTACATCCTCGTGTCATTATGCGGGAGAGACATGTGGACGTAAAAAAAAAGATTCTATCAACTTATTTTGACTTAAGATAATAAGCTTATAAGCTTGGTCTTACTTCATCGTGGAGAAACGAAAGAAGACTTATATATGTTAATGCATAATAAATATAATTGTTGTGGAAATCTTATTAAATAAATAAATAAAAGTTTAACATAATGTTATGTATCTTTTTTTCTTATTGAAAATTAAATTATAGGTAAGATCAGTTTAATTAAATGTCTTTTTTCCTTATTGAAAATTATAGGTAAGATCAGTTTAATTAAATAAAAAATTGAAAAGATTTCATTTTATTTTTTTATAGATTGATATGTTCATATTTGATATTTAATAAAAAAAATTACGTATATATTTTTGTTACCCTATTTTGCAAATGTATTCTTTAACTATATATTTTTAAATATGAAACAAATGGCGTTGTTTTTATTTTTTTTATTATTTTATTCAACTCTAAAAGGGCAAAAAAAGCTTCGAACAGAAGGCTTTAGAAGAAATACAAAAGTAATTCACTCATATTGTACTTAGAACAATTTTATTGGAAACAAAGACAGAAGATGTGTACTATTAGTCCTTATTTTACCTCACAATTGAATAATTTGTAATTACAATTAGCAATAAAAAGTATTCATATTTTATTATTAATATTAAAAAAAGAATTTATATTTTCTTCTTTGATTACCAAATTTACGTGAATATATATATATATATATAATTTGGTTTCTGGCATCCGTTTGGTACACAACATCACCCCTTGACACATCTTTAGCGTGGCCAAGCACACTTTTGACAACAAAACTGTCCTTCAATAGGACACAATATTGTCTCCTTCGTTCTTCACACTTTTTGTAACATTACAAAGGAAGTTATTAATTAAACCTGAAAATATTACATGATTAAATCGATTAAATTTAATTGTGCTAATATAAATAATTATTTTAAGAAAAAACATGGTTTTAGTAAAAATAATTGACTCGAGTTCATCTAGCCATCCAATCTTTAGCCGGGTCAATAACTATAATTCACGGTTAGGGCCGTAACCATACATTGATTAATACTAGAATATTGTTTTCGAGTTGAAATTACCACATTGTTATGTTTCTTGGTTCTCAAGCATTGCAAATAACCATTCGTCAGTCAAAAGAATTTTATAACAAATAAAATCCAAAACGAATGGCAAATTGCATGCAACTAACCATATTCTCTCCCCCCCCTCTCTCTCTCACACACACAATTAAAACAACAGAGATTCTGTTTCTCACTTGTGTGAGTAACTGCTTTATAAGTAGCCAAGAACACGACTAATGCCCTTAGTTGTAGTATTAATCCAGAAGTTCAACCTCTCTCTCTCACTTGGTCAGTACCGATTGTCATGACAATGAAATACTTAGCCATGAATGAGTTAGGCTTAGCTGATCAAGAAGGCAGTTGTTGGGGAAGGATGGGCCGGAAAAGGGCTAGTTATGATGATACAGTTGGTTACAAATCAAAGAACCTTCATGCAGAAAGAAGGAGAAGAGAGAAGCTGAGTAACAGGCTCTTGACATTGCGTGCACTAGTCCCTATTATCACAAATGTAATTACCCTAATCTTGATTTTATTTTCTTGACTAGTTAATGATGATTTGCTAATGAAATCTTGGGCTGTGTTTTAGATGAACAAGGGCACCATAATTGAGGATGCAATTACTTACATCCAAGAGCTGAAGAAAAATGTGGAGTCTCTTACTGACATGCTTCAAGAAATGGAAGCATCATCGTCGGAAGAGGAATTCAAGACAAAGGTTAATGAGATTGATGCTTCTGAGGAAATGAAGCAGTGCGGGATTAAGGTTTTATTGAAAAAAACTTCAATACAGCTTCTTTCATCAGTCTATAAAAGCTGCTAATGTAATTTTTCTAACCTTAACTTGTATTTGTTTGGTTCTGTTGATATTTGCAGGAAGATGTTCAGGTGACTAACATCGAAGGGGATAAGCTCTGGATCAAGATTATCCTGGAGAAGAAGAGAGGCGGGTTCGCTAGATTGATGGAGAAAATGGCTTGCTTTGGCTTGGAACTCATTGACAGCAATGTCACTACCTCTAAAGGAGCAATGCTTGTTACAGCCTGTGTTGAGGTATGGAGCAAAAATTTAGAGTCATTTGTTTTAGTAGATGCCCTCTGCACCTCCATGACAGGTGACTAGTTTTATAGCAAGGTAGAGGTTCCAGTAAGGCTACATGTGAGGCTACCTTGTTATTAGCAGGCTAAGAATACCACCATGGTTTCTACATTTACAGACAAAAAGAGGATAAAACAGAAAGAGAATGTTCCAATAATTGTGTGTTTCTGATGTACCTTTTCTGTGTTCCAAGTTCTCGTTAGTTTTTCTGTCTTCTAAGCTCAAATGTTATGTGATTTCAGGGTGCTTTCGGCGATACTCTTACAGTTCAGCAGACCAAGGAACTGTTGACACAGATCATCAAAGGCATATAGAGACCCTTCTAGTGCTTCTGATTGCAGAATTATTCATAAATTATGAAGGTTGATATACCTCATTTATGCAGGAACATTAGTTTAGAGTTCGAAAATTCACACTGTATCATCTGTTGTGCGGTTCAACACATAAATCCAAGCAAGCATGTTCAACATAAAGTGCAAAATTATCAATTTTTATATTTTCAGAATTGATTATGTTTTTGTTGTCTCTGAGACGAGGCAGAAAAGTCTGTTTTCACTGACACTTCTTCAAAACAGTCGAAAACATTCACTGCCTACCTTCTTGTCTAATAATCCCTTTATTGGCATGATTGAATCAAATTTATGTTCATTTTCTAAGTTTTGTTTGTTTATTTAAAAGTAATTTTTTAAAAAAATATTTTTGTTGAAAAATAAATTCTTAAAAAGTAAAATATTTTTTGAAGTTTGGTAGTATTGTAGAGAATAAATTAAGTCATGGAAAATAAACTGAAAAATAAATTATTAATAGTTTTTTTAATTTTATTAAAATAATAAAAAATAAATCTTATAAATTAAAAAATTGAATGAGAATAAAATTGAAAAAAATAATCTAATTTTATAAATTATTTTAAATAAAATAAATAATAATTAAAATAATAAA